TTGTATTCATTATTATATTTGCTCTGTTCTTACATTGAGCTCTATATGGATTTATATCCTCCTTAAAATTATCCCTACTAATTATTAAATGACATTATTTCTTGGTATCGCATAAGCGTAAAACCCAGGGTTACAAACTCATATCCATTCAACTAAAATATGTTAGCTCTATCACTGATATTGACTGCTTTCCAATAAGCACCGCATATATATATATATATATATATATATATATATATATATATATATATATATATATATATATATATATATATATAAACTGATTTAAAATGGTTTTTTTCGCTACACAGTAATAACCATGTTTCAAAAATGGAAGCTAAAAGCTTTGAATTTAATTTTGTAATTAAATTAAAAACATTAGTTCCATTTCATCCTCAAGCAAATTTTGGAGTAACTTATGTTTTAAATTTACTGAGTTTTAAAGACACAGAAAAATTCATAATTCACTATTTCAAAGGATACAGAAAGATCCAATCATTCAGACAAGGGGTGGTAGCATGTTCATTTTTATTAACTTTTGTTGTATCAGTTATTAGTTATGATGAAAAAGGTGTTATGTTTAGGTAGGGATGTATTTTTCAACAAATTCTGATATCTGTTAAATGCATGTTGTCTGTGTTTTTTTTTTTTTTTTTTTTTTAAAGTTTTATTGTTAACGGCAAAAAATTCTTACTGCATTTTTTCTATTTGTATACTTAAAGATTTTGGGGGGATGTTTAGGTTAGAATATGTTTTATTTAACTACAATTTTAAAATATTTTCACTCTTAATTTTAAGACTATATTTCTTTTTAAAACAAGTAAATGTAATAGAATTACTTACAGTATATAAAATTATTTTTTCATATCAAATATAAGTATATATATATTAACAGGTCGCACTTTTTAATTTTATTTTTAAATATTATTTTAGGAAAATATTTGACAATGACAGCAAAAAATAGCTATTTCATTTCTCTGATTCAGTAAATTTTTATTTTTTATAAACTTAGTAATATATAGTTTTTTCATGTATGCACAAAGGACATGGGTCATTTAATGACCTACATATTCTAGATTTTATTAACTTCAATATATAAAGGATTGGTATTGGGTTTTTTATAAGGTGTGTATGTATTTTTCTTTAAATCTAATGTTATATCAAGGAAGTTAACTTTTTTTAATTTAGTGTTAACCGTAATTTTTAAGTTCATGCTTTTAAATTCTTTATATAATACCTTTCTAATTTTATCTATTTTAAAGTTAGTTTCTAATAACCATAAGACCATCGTCCCTGTATAAACCAATGTCAGTTATATTAATATCACGGTGCGCTGTGAGATTGTAAAATATAAAAAGACCTATGAGATCAGAAGATTCATTTGAGTCTAGTGATCCCATTGTGATGTCATAGTGGTCATATGAATTTTTTATCCAATGCTTACCTTTATGTATTGGTACTGATTTTTTTCGCATTTATAATAATGTTCTTTTCTTCTGTAATATCTGTGTGCTGGGTAGCAAAGTCCAACACATTCATGAACAGTTCTTTAGATATTGATTGATAATAATTTTCAATATCAAACTGCATTAGTGTACAGTTGTTTTTTTTTTTTTTATATAAGTAAACCAGTTTGTCACATTTTTTCGTTAATTTGTTGATTTACCCTTTCAAGGATCATTTTACTAATTTTTCCGATAGCAGGTCTTGTAGGGTTTATTATCCTTGTAGTCGGATTAGCCTCGCAATCTGGTTTGTGGTCTTTTAAGGTCATATAGCACTCTCTTTCATATAGTTGGCCTACTCACTGATCTTCAGTTTATCAGTGATTTTTTTTGACTGCTAGTATTAATATGTTCAACTATGTTGAGATGATTATTATTTGCCTTTTTGTAGTTCTTATGTAAATTAAATTAAAAAAAATGTGCTCACATCATTTCCTTCAATTATGTTTTACAGGAAACTTTTATCAAGTCAATGGGAAGCACAGATGGGAAATTTACTGTGACCTTTAAATTTTTTATGCATCTGTGATACAGGGCACGCATCTATCAGCGGGTGTATATGTGTGTATATACACACATACTTACAGAGAAAAGTCTTTATTCATAGTCCTTTGACGGATATTTGTTTTTACTTATATCTGAAATTTTACTTGTATATGTATTTTAGATTGATTTTTTTTATTAATCAAACAGATTTTTATCACTTTAAACATGATTTTTAGTGGATACGTGTATTTGAGTAGACACCCCATTTGATATTTATTATACATATTTTTAATGCATGTGATACATGACTGACCAATGAGAATCTACCCAAACAAAATTGAAAATACCAATGTCTCTTTTTGTCTGTTTTCTCTCAATCTCTGATGAAACTTTAATAAAGTGAAACATGTTAGATTGATAAATGCTTCATATTCTTATATAATTAATCTGTACTAGTAATTTTTGAAATCACAGAATTTGAAACTTTGTATTTTATGTGATGAATTTACATGCATCTATTTGATGAAATAATGTCTTGTACATTATGGATGTTTATTTGACTCACTATATATTTAAGGTGCTGAAATGTTATCCACTTGACTCACTTTCCAAAATCAGTATTTCAATGGCAAAGCATATCTATTTTCTACACTTAGATATATACAAATGGAGTACATTACTTGACTAACATTTTTAACATTATTACCATAACTAAATTAACTAATATAAGCATTAACTTTCCTTTCATTAAGGCAATGTTCTTTCCAGTGCCACACTCTCAGGTTTTAAACTTATTTTCTCATAAAATAAAACTTGCAAAAATGCTTAAACATTTCCAAATGTTTAATTATCACCATCTCTGAATAGGAAAATTCAAAGTTAAAATAAACCCATGGGGCTAATGCAATAAAAAATAGGATTTACTTTTCGATCAATGGGTCTTAATAAAGTTAATAATGTAGATATTTTTGTTTGGTTGTATTTTACAACCTAGAAGTTATTTAGAACTAATAACAGTGAAATATTCAATGGATTTCTAAAAAAATTTACCAAAATGTTCTTTAAAAAGAAGAAATTCATAATTTTGAGAAGAGTCATTATCATTCCAAGAGTTCTTCAGACTATTGAACTCATTCTTTGTATTGCTTTTGTTGTTACCACAATGTTTCAGTCAATCCATTGTATGTCTACCTTTTATAATTTTGAGGAGAGTCATTATCATTCCAAGACTTTTTCAAATTTCTGTTTTTGCTTTATTATAATACTTAGTGAGAAAGTGTAAGAATATATAAATTAGTATCAATTCTGATACCTACAATGATCGAAATTCATTCTAAGGCCATACAGTTGGTTTGAGAAACAAATGTGACATTGGTGGGAATTCCATACATCTATTTTTTTTTAATATATATATATATATATATATATAAAATTGTCTTAAGAGAGCCTGGCAGAACAATGTGAATTCATTGTGTTTATAGTACATAATTTTGATTTATAATTATCAAATTAATAATTTATAATATTAAATGAGTGAGTTAACAATGTTGAAAAAGAAATTAAAAATTTTACTTTGAATTAAAGCAGACTTTAAAGTAACAAACTTTATGGAAAGTTTGAGGATTGTGTAGAATTTTTTTTTTTTTTTACACAAGAAAAATAAATTTACATTAAGTGTTATCATGATCTATAGAATTTTTTAGTTTTACTAATAGTTTAAAATAAATAAATATTTATATCTTTTTATCATTAGTATCAGGAATGGAAAATTAATTTTAAACAAAAAAAAAAAAATCGGAAGAATTGTTTTTGGAATTGGAAATTGTGTTAAAAATTCTACGATTCCATTACCCTCAAAAGTTCTCATATTTCCAATTCTCAATTCCAATTAATCATCTCATCATTAATATAAATGTTGTTAAAAGAAGTAAAAGAAAAGATAAGGGAAATAAAAAAAAAAAAAAAATTCTGCTAGCTAGAATATCCACCCACTGGATAAGTTGCACATGTTTGATAGGGTTTCGTACCTCATACTTCAGCCCTTAATCTAACTTGATGAGTTTCTGGGACAAACCTTGCAAAGAATTCTACAATCCTAAATAAGAATTAAGTGAAAGTGGCAAAACCTACAGAGAAGTAGTACCACAAAGTCATCTAGAGACAAAAGCTACATTATCGGTTGGTCACTTTATTGAAATTCTTAAATAGCATTTGGTTTTCTAAAATGACAAACTGCCTCCACTTCAGTCAATATGTTTAAGAGGAAAAAAGAAAGGATAAAACACAAAGGCGAAATTTTTTTCCCTTGCACCCCCCACTACCACCACCTTTTTTTTTTTTTTTTTTTTTTGTAAAACTTGCTTCCTAAATACCGTAAATTGTAGGAGGGCAGTAGGTAAGGGGGGGGTGTATTAAAACATTACCAACTTTATCCTTTGATGTCTGTCAGACGAGTGAGTTAGGAAAGGCAAACATAGTAACAAATTAAAATGGCATTAGACAAATCTTATTAGAAAAAAAATTGTCCATTTCAAAATTGCAATTTCTGTTTCAAGTAGACCATTTTGTTTTCACGGAAAATAAGCCCCCTCTAATTCTGTATCACAGAGGAAATAAAAAGACATTTTTTTCAGTTGCTTTTGTGGACAATTCTTCACAATTTTTGTGTTTGGTTGTTTGTATTGTTTTAAAACCAATCTAATCCTATTTTTATATATTCTCCCAATTTGCTAACAGTTCATGTAATTAATATCAGTTATCAATTCGACACTTACAATATTGATTTATAATGCAGGACAAGAAAAAAAAAAACCTGATATGTGAATCATTTTCAAGTAAAGAATAGAAAAAATACTTTGATATGTTAAATATGCATTATTGTAAAGAATAAATAAGAACTACCAGTTAATACTGGTGTTCAAAAAAACTCGCTGAGAACAAATATTATATAATAATGTGGTACATATCGTTAATGAATGACAAACAGAAAATCAGAAGTTAAGTCTTATTTTATCGAGGCAGTGATTTCCGGTTGTAGGGTAGTGGAGGTTTGGTCTTCACCACTTCTGGTTCAACCTGTAAGAGAAAATAGTATAAAATAATTGTAATTAAATTGACATATACTTTAAGTTCTTTTTTTTAAAAAAAAAACACTAACATAGAAAAATGCAAAGTTATACTTGTAATACGTGTAATACTATTGTAGGGATACAGAAGGCAATTATCTCCCTTTGGTGGAGATAAGTCACATGTGACAGCCGCTTAGTGATGTCATCCCATACAGTGACCAAAGTGGCAGTCATTTTCAGTTTGTTTACAGATGCCAAACTGAGCTGCTACTATTTTAGCCTCGGCCAAGTGGGCCTGGGCTGACGCTAAATCTGCTTCCTCCAGCATATGCTGCAGTTTACAAATCCATGGTGCCGTTTCTCTTTGGGAATATATCTTCCCCAGATATAAAAAGAAATTTTTGGAGGTAGAGCTAAATAGATTAGAAGGCTAGTTTCATTGACTATTGCTAATAGAAAGAATCTGATAATAACTTTGTGCTCCACTATTATAACCTTGTGCCATGTAATATCGATATTATCTATAAAGATAACAGAATTAGGATTACAAGAAAAAAAATTTTTCAGCAGTCTTTAACTTTTGTGCCTGCAAAAACACTGTATCAAATGGATAGTTTTATCCCTCAATGATGATATTATTTTAACTACCTTCATCCTCAGCAATGCTTATTGTTTTAAGAATTGATGATTAGAATTTAAAAAAAAACTTAAACATATGAAAGTGAATTTATACATTTTCTTTGTTTTTATAGAATGGATAAAAAAAATAATAAACATTATTTATTTATTAGATTATTTATTTACACTATTGTTTATTGGAATGGTTGGTAATACATCAGCCAATTGATTCAAACCTTATAAAATGGTAAACCAGGATTTCCTTACAGTTGGTTCACTTATTTTAGTAAATGTTTATAAATTTATGAATAAAATTTTTCATATTTATTTCTTTATAAATTGATTAATGATAAATATTGCATGGTATTAGTTTTTAAAATGTTGTAAATATAAAATTATTCTTATAAATAAACAATCTAATAAATAAATGGTGTTGTAACAAAAAAATATATAAATTCACTTTCAGCAGATGTTTAGGTTTTATTACAATTCTAATCATCACTTTTTAAAACAATAAACATTGCTGAGGAGAGAAGGTAATAATAGCAGTGTTAAAGGTAAAACCATCCTTTTGACACAGCGTTATTTTGCAGGCACAAAGGTTAAAGATTGCCAAATTTTCTTTTTGCTTGCTTGTGTCTTGTGTGTGTGTGTGTGTGTGTATATATATATATATATATATATATTTGATAATCCATAAAGTTGTTTGGATGCTTTCAGGTGCTGTTCAATGAGTTTTAACCTGAATTTGGTTTGCCAATGAGGTCTCCTCTTAGTGGCATTCTGGCTTGTGTATCTTTGCTATATAAAGGAAAATCTATGACAGTGGGAAAAGTTTTTTCCTTGATATGTTTCATCTTTTAGTACTTCATCAAACAAAAATTATGTTTATATTGATGTTTACATATGCACATAATGTTAAATTTTTTAATTATAGTTTAGTTTCTTTTAGTTTCTGGTTTTATTTTTAGCACTTTTGTTATTAAATATCCCACCTTTTGATAATAGAAGATCTTCCAAGAAAGGTGAAATGTTGTAAGAACCTGGATGTAAAACCACACACACACACACACTTTAAACAATGGATTTTTTTATGCAAAAATTTTCATATTATAACTGTAATTTACACATGTTTGAGCAGACCACTGTTTATTGACAAACCATGAAATTAATACTTACCAGCCTAGATCATACTTATTTTTTATTTTTTTAAATGTATGTTTCACTTTCCATTATCTATGCTAGTAGACAATAAATAGGGATGTCTACTCAAACATGTGTACCTGATAAAGTAATGTTTATAGTACAGTCCAACCTCTTTAATCCAACATTCTGTAGTTTGGTAACCATAGCAGATTTACATCCATGACTGGGTTCTCTTGCTTGTGTGGCATGGTGCAGTGTCCTGTTGCCAAACATAGGGGTTTCCAGCAGCCACCCTGTTGACCCAGGGCAGCACCACCTTCTCAAGGCACTTTATGTAGGCCTCTGTGTTTAGTCTAAGGCCCTCAAACAAATTTGGGATGACTTTTCTTATCAGAACAATCAGTGAGTTTTCAAGCTTCTATATCTTCATGATCACCATTAGACTCCTCCAACTGTTCTCAGATTGACAACCAAGCACTCTGGAATGTTTGTATTAGAGCTTCCAGCATGAATGCCAAGCAGTACAGCATGCCGGTTTCATGTTGTCATGGTGCTCTTTTTCTCACAGACAGTGCCCAACTAACCTTATACTGTGCAATTGAAATCAAAAACAACGTACAATCTACCCATTGCACTGTGTTGTGTGTGTGCATATATATATATATATAGTTTTCCTCATGACACAAATTATGTTTCAGAATTAAAAATTAAAATTTTTGCTCCATTTTCAAGTGATGTTGAATAACTTCAGAAAAAAAAAAGATTTACTTTTTTAAGCTAAGTCGTATTAATTTAAGAGTTTAAATTGGAGGGGGAATAAGATTTCAAAATTGTAAATGGGTGTTGTCATTTTTGACGAATTAGGAAACGGCTAATCTAAGATGGAAAAGTGAAAAATGTCGGTTAAAGGTTTGGTTTGGGTATGTAATTTCTGTTTGCCAATACAGGCTTTAATGTATAAGATGTGTCATTGTGTCTACCTTCATTGGAACATATCTACGATACATTAAAATACAGGGAGTTATTTGTTTCAAACTAGGGGTTAATTTGGGCATTTTTATTTATTTTTTTTTTTCAAATACTTTGGGGTATCTTAAAGGGGATTCAGATATGATTAAATCATATTTTATGCATTTAATTATAAAGATCTAAAATGCTATATTATATCTAATAGTACTTGAGATATGGCATTGTTAAATTTAAAATTTAGGAATTAAGTATACATTTTTATTAGTAATCAAATAATAGATATGTAATTATGAAAGTTTTATTAATTGTTTTAAAGTGAACATAATGCAGTGCTTACAAAAGATAGTTATTTCTTTTTGCTGATTAAATAAATCTTTATTTTTAAGAAACTTAATATTATATAACTTTTCATGTAGGCACAAAGGACATGGGTCATTTAAAGATATACAAGTTCTTTTTTCTTTTTAATAATTTCCATTTTACTGTGTTGGTTGGATACTGCAGAGTCTTCCAGTCTTGCTGGATTATTTATATTATACAATCTCACTGCCCCTCCCATGAAATTAATATAGAAGATATTGAATTGTATAGGGATGATGGCTTTATGGTTGTGAGGAAGACAACAAACTTCAAAATTGACAAGATTAGGAAATTTTAATTTTTACTTCCAAAACATAGTCATTTCTGTGTCGTGATGAAAAAAACATATTTTTAAATAATATGTGCTACTTTGTATCAAGCACTTTTTTAAAGATAAATTCTAATGAACTGTTAATTATTAATCTGACTGTTCTTTCTTTTTATTTTGATATATATAAGAGTGTTTTCAGACTTCCAGTGCATGCAATTGGGCTGTATTTAAGTTATTAAAAATTTCAAATCCAACACCCAATTTCTTAGGTATATCATAAACAACTCGTTTCAGGCACTTGTAGTATTGAGTTCATGTGAAGATACAAGTTATCTCTCTTATTTCATGGTTGATTACATAAAAAGTTAAAACAAGACTTTTGGAAAACATCAGACTTACCAGATTGAAAGGCGACATTGGCTTTGCTTGCTTTTTAGATGATGCCTGTAAACCATTTTCAGGCAGTGACCATTTCTCTTTAGTAAATGGCACTGGAAGTGGCTTCCCAGATATCAAATCTTTGTTGGCTTCTTCGGAATTGTTCACTGAAGCTGATGGAATGTTGCTTGTAGGTTTGCTGTCCAAAAGTGTTGGTTTCTTCCCAAACAGACCAGTACCCACAGTAGTCAAGTCATTTAAGCCATCTTCATTTTGAGTTGCATGTTGACCAACATCAAATTCTTTTTGGAGCCCACTTTCCATCTGAGCAGAAGGGGCCTTCCAAAAGCCCCCCAAACGTCCTTTTTCCTTGTTGGGCAATATGACAGCAGGATATGAGTGGCCATTCACGAAAGGAGGATTTTTAGTCATTTTATCTGTCCTAAATGTAGAAAAGAAATTTTTGAAAGTTAAGTTTAAATATGAAAGACAAAAAAAATAAAAAAAAAAGGATTCAAAATCAAAGGCCTACTCACTCGTGTTGGAGGAACACCTCCATGACTAACCATAATCAACATACTTCACTAGTTACAGTTTGGTGAAACTATTTAACTTAGACTTGGGGTGGATTGTTTTGAATTAAGTTGTCCTTCTCCTAGGCTATAGAACCCAATCTGTCCTGGTATTTACCTATATCAGAGGGAAGAGATGGATTCATCCCTTTTCCAAGAGTTTTTGTACATAAGTGAATATAACGAACTTGACTGGAATTCAAGCTTGATTCTTTATTCTATCCATGGCCACTGAATCTGATTTTTTGGGGGGCTCCACTCTACTTTTCATAAAATACAAATTTTATTTTAATTTATGCATAATGATGGACCATATGCTATATAGGTGAACAATTCAACTAGAAAAATTCAAAATAAATACAATGTATCTAAATACAAATTAGATACATGTCATAATAGATCATTCCATTTTAAATAAATCAATAATGATTTGTGGCAATTTTTAACATCTTGAGATTTTTCTTATTAAAAACTTGAATAAGTTTAACACATTCAACATTATGGATAAAAAATAGTGAATTTTATAGGTTTTTTTTTTTTTTTTTTTTTTTTTTTTTGAGACTAAACATGAGCAAAACAAATTCAGATTTGGACAAAAAAAAAAAAAGACACCTGAATGATGTAAAAATCTGTGAATCCTTTAATACTAATAGTCAGTTGTGCTTAGTTTAATTTGTAACGTATATAAATGTAGCTAGAAAAAAGCAAATGTTGATAAGTTAGTGAAGGTCACAAAACAAGTTTTGTCCCCCAGTCATTAGGACACACTGGCTGTGAAACTATCCTATACTCTACTGTACCTCCATTTAATAGAAATACCTTGGTTTTAAAAATAGGGGTTGCTAAAAACATTTTTGCCTAGTTTCAAATAATTTTTTTTTTTATCTTTTGAGTTTACAGCAGTGGGAATTCTCAAATAGTCATCATCAATTTGGTATGAAATCTGACTGAAAATTATCTAACTTTTATTTTTCAGGCTGGCATTTGTACATTTTTTTTTTTTTTTTTTACTCTCTTCATTCTCTATTGTACATAAGTCAAATTAATATTACCAACAAGGAGAGATGTAATCAATCTTCAGTTGTCAAGATAACAGAACACTCTCTTCTGCAAAGACTTATATATAATAACAGATCTCTGAGGGTGCCTAATGTAGCATGATCGATTAGCAAGCTAGTCTTGCAAATAAACTTGTTGAGAATTATGTCCTTAAGAAGTGTGCCTCACTTTCCTGGCTTTGTATTATATGAAGTTAAGCTTAGGGAATAAATACACATAGGGACCGCCTAATGGTCAAGATAGTTGTTTTCTCATAAGTGTTAATGGTAATGAGACAAGATTTTCAATGTTGATTTTTCAAAGCAGGCAGAGAAGCTTCACTTGCGCTTCCCATTTGGCTATGAAAGCTAAGCAAAGTATTAAATGGGGAAAACATTTGTTAGAAACAAAGAAAAGTGCTGAACTGCTCTGTAAAATATATATATGGCAATGAATGCAGGACCATTTCTTTATAAATGGAAAAGAGACTTGAGTCAACAGATATGTGGTTTTATAGAAGGATGCTGAGAATACTATGGATGGAAAATGTGAGCAACAATGAAGTTTAAAGAAAAAGGAAACAATGCAAAAACAGTAGTTGAAATTTCTGGGATGCATAATGAGGAAAGAGGGCTTGGAGAACTTGATGCTCACAGGACATATAAGGGGTTGAGGGAAACAGTAACTTACCTGTACACATGTGCCCTGTCGGCTGGGGCTTCAGAATACACCGACTGCACTTCTGCAGAGGGGTAACCACCACCACCACCAAATGAGTTCACCTGTTTGCTGTGGGTGGTGACTCGAGATGCCTGAGGATGAGATCCTCGTAGTTGAAGACCTCAGGCATTAGGTAGAATATTTTTGAATTCTAACACGACTTTGACTCTTACTTGGGCTAGACGGGTGGTCAAGAGAGGCTCAATATGATAAATCGGCTAGTCATGTCAAACTCTAGTACCAATTCACCCTCCAAAAGCGCAATAACTTCACAACCTCCCCCACCTAAAAAAATCATACACACACCAACAAAATTGAATCAAATTGGTACTAGAAGGTGGTGGCAAGGGTCAATAAGGTTATTACTAAAATGTATCATCAAAAATTAAAAATTATGTTCAACTTTACAGGTAGATGAATGAAAGAAAATTATTGATGACTACATATAATCTATAAATCTGAGTATGCCTGAGATGCTTGGGCTAATGGAATCCCCCCACACACACACACACACACACACACTTCCAATCGTCTCCCACCATAGGGCTCCAAGGAAGGTGGAGAGCAAAGATGATGAAAGAAAAGATGCATAATATGGCAACTAAAAAAATGAAAAGACCTCTATCTAAATCAAGTTCTGATAAAGAATCGAATTTGCATTGTTACTTCTCTCAATATTTAGTAATGGAGTCACTTGAAGAAACTCCTATTGCAAAACTGTCCTTTTATAATTGAAAAAAAAAAAAAAAACAATATACACTCAAATTAATCCTATAACTGTAAAAAATACAAGTAGGAAAAAATGTATGCAAACAAAATCCTCAAATGGTCAACATTTTAATAATTTAAAAATCAAAACCTATCGGCATCAAAGTCTAAACAGATCTAGAGGTGTAATGAAAAGTCCAGACCTGGCAGCTTGCTCTCTAGAAGAAATGAAAGTTAACCTATGAAAAAATGTAATAGATATAACGAGAATAACAATTAAAAGAATGGCCAAAACTTAAACACCAACACATATACAGTGTAACCCGGATATAAGAGAGATTTTCTCTGGCCACAAATTGTTCCCATACTTACCTAAACAAAATAGACCAAACCCGGATATAAGAGACTTCTTCTCTGGTCCCGACAACTCTCTTATATCCGGGTTACACTGTATAATTTAAAATACTTCTTTAATATGTTCTCTCTAAATGTGCTAATAAAAATTGTAGTGTAACCCGGATATAAGAGATTTTCTCTGGTCCCAAATTAGAGCCCATACTTACCTAAACAAAATAGACCAAACCCGGATATAAGAGACTTCTTCTCTGGTCCCGACAACTCTCTTAAATCCGGGTTACACTGTATAATTTAAAATACTTCTTTAATATGTTCTCTCTAAATGTGCTAATAAAAATTGTAGTGTAACCCGGATATAAGAGAGATTTTCTCTGGTCCCAAATTAGAGCCCATACTTACCTAAACAAAATAGACCAAACCCGGATATAAGAGACTTCTTCTCTGGTCCCGACAACTCTCTTATATCCGGGTTACACTGTATACTAAAATTCACTACATCCAAACCATCAGCTGAAATAAAAATAGGGTATATCATCACAAAGTGGAAATCTACATTCCCGGACCTTTAAGTTGTCATAAATGTCAAAGATTTGGGCAACATCATGACAGATGCACTAGAATTTTGGTGTGTCCAAAATGCAGCAGAACAAATCATAAAGAAAATGAATACAAAGGGGACACAAAATGCATAAATTTTAATGAGAACCACACTGTATACTCACATCTATGTAAAGTTTGGCAAAATGAAAATGAAATAATTAAGATCAAATATGAGAAACAAATTTTCCTGAAACCAGGAAAACTGCTGAAAACACTAGACAAAATATTACAAGAAATTATGCAAATGTAACTAAAACCCAACAACACCGTGGTGAGAAATATGATTATTGTGAATTAACAACACTAATTCAAGAGCTTAAGGAATTGAAATAATGAAAACTTATGTGACCGTGCAACATCTAGACTATAGGTGGAAAGTATGTTATGATAAATGTAGTAGTGATCACTTCCCAGTTGTGTAAGAAAACTCTGCATCTTTGCCAGCTGAAAGAATAACATACTGGAAACTTAAGAAAGCTAGTTGGAAGGAATTTAAAAACACATATACCATAAAATTTATACCAGAATCCAATGTAGACAATACTGAGCACATCACCTATTTCACAAAAACTCTTCTTAGTATTGCAGAACAATTTATACCAAAATCAAAACCTAAATCTGTTAAACACTATAGACATTGGATTAATGATGGGTGTAAAAAAGTGATCAGATTGCGTCATGCAATTCTATGTAAGGTTAAATTACATCCAACTCAAGAGAATCTGAACGTCTACAAAATAAATAGAGCTCAAGTACACAAAACTATTAGAGTCCAAGTGATCCTCATGGAAGAACTTTATATCCAATGTTAATTTTAATACCAAAACCAAAATGGTATGGAATAAGATCTGTAAAATCACTGGGAAAAGTAAAAGCACTCCATTAAGACATTTATGTGAAAACAATATCAAAGCAATTAACAAAGAGGATATTATAAAAGTTATTACCATAAAACTCTTTTCAAAATTCTTCCTCAAAAAATTCTAGAGGCTATTTCAGAATATCAAAACAAAAGAGAAGAAAAAATTAAATTTCTATTGTAACAATAATAAAAATGACAACCAGGCTCTTACTTTAAAAGAATTACTAAATTCTATAAGAAAATCACACAATTCAGTAGTTGGCTCAGATTAAATTAACTATGAATTCTTAAAAAATTACCAAATGTTTCCTTGAAATATCTACTCAAAATTCTCAACCACATATGGGTCAGTGGTAATATTCCCAGTTACTAGAAACAAGCTATCATAATTCCAATCCTGAAACCAGAAAAGGACTGAGAAAGTCCCTCAAACTATATTCCAATTGCACTTATGAGTTTTTTATGCAAAATGTTTGAAAGAATTTTTAATAATAGGTTTACTTGGTTTCTTGAAGCTGATAATAAAATTACAAATTCCCAAGCTGGCTTCAGAAAGAATAAAAGCACAATCTATC